CTCGGAGTAATTGGTGTCTGCGACGTCCAAAGGGTCTTCGTCCACTTTCATTTTTGCCTTATCAGCAAACTTCAGTCTGCCATCTTTAATTGCATTCTGAATTAGGTCCCTGAAAAGAAAACACTGTGAGGTTTTGTGGCCTAGGAAACTATGATATTTGCAAAATCCTCTTTTCTTTCTTTGATCTAAAGGAGGTATTTTGACATTTGATGGCACAATGAGTTGGCCATCTTTGACAAGTAAATCAAAAATCTCGTCACATTTAGTGACATCGAAGGTATAAACCTTCTTTGGGAATTTGTCACTTTTCTCATTTTCAACAATTTCTTTCCCTTTTGTGGGAACTAATAATTTGCAGGAGTAAGGTGGTGCCTGTTTTAATTCAGCAAGGTCGATTTCGACCTCTTCAAACTCGAATTCAGGATAATCTTCTGCTTCCTCAGTTCCAACATAGGAGATCCTTTCCTTCTTGTTATTTTTAAAGACTCTGGCCTTTTCGGCCTTTAGCCTTTCGACCTGTCGAACCCTATCGGCTAATTGAGCCATATCCCTCAAGTATTGAGTGTCTAGTTTCTTTCGAATAGAGTAGTCCAAGCCGCCAGCGGCCATTTCGACTAACTCATGTTCAGGCACTACTGTGAAACATCTAGATTTCAAAAGCCCGAATCTATTCAGATAATCATCTATGGGTTCAGTGAACTTTCTCTTGACACTGGCTAGTTCCTTCAGACTTATTTTTTATTGTCCCATGTAGAACTGTTCATGGAATAATCTCTCCAAAAGAGCCCAAGTATCAATGGACCCAGGAGGCAAAGTGGTGAACCATGTGAAAGCGTTCTTAGTCAGGGAACTTGGGAAATATTTGATCCTGAGGTCTTCATTATTGGCTATATTTCCCGCTTCGGTTAGATACCTGGCTATATGTTCGACTGTTGACTCATTGGTATCCCCAGCAAACTTTGTAAACTTAGGGACTTTATATCCCCTTGGTAAATCAGTGTGCATTATGTAATCTAATATAGGGGAGGCATAATTTGGCCTTCTAATTCCTGTGTTGAGGCCATTCTGGGCCATGATTCTCTCTATCATGGTGGTTAAATTATTTTCTGCCAAGATGTTATCGTTTCTAATTCTATGAACGACTGCATTAGCATCTTGATTTCGACCCACCATGACAACCCCTCTAGGTTATTCTTCTCGAAACTCTGGGACTTCCAGTCTTTCGACCCTTGCCCCTGGTTCCATAATTTCCCTTTGTGGGCCTTGGATCATTGGGGCTTCTAGCCTTTGTGCCCTTGCCCCCAAGTTAACCTCCTCTCTGGCTGGTCTATAGGTTGGGTCGTTAGCAACTTGTTCTATAATAGGTACGTTCGCTCGAACTCCCGCCTGATTCTGCCTACGCCTCTCTGGGGGAGCAAAGAAATATGCTATTCGACTCATGTTATCTGCATTTTCTCTGTTTGTCACAGTCACATTTTGTACTATTGGGGCAAATATTTCCTGCATAGTTTGTGCTAATACCCCTATCATATTATGGTTACTGTCATCCATTAATTGCCTAAAAGCCAACTGGTTATCTGTGGTTAAAATAGGCATTGCACTATAACCCACTGACCCTTGGTTATTAGTCATAAACTGATTTTCCCCAGACCCAGACCCTAATTGTGGTGATGAATTTGATGTGGAATTGTGTAAGCCTGCCATAAAAGATGTTGGCATTCCATAAGAGGAATTTCTGGTTCTATTACCATCGAAACCGGGTGGTCTAGTTAGTGGGGTGCCGAAATGGGTTTGTGTCCCTGATGGTGGGACGAATCCCCCAGGATAACCAATGGTTCCAGTATTTCCTAGGATCGAACTATTAGTTGATATGCCACTTATTCCATTAGTGGCTATATTACTGATAGAGGATGCAACAGACTGTGCATTCGAAGGGATCACATTAGATGTTCCCATCGAAGCGGACATGTTAGTGCCTGTTGTATGTGGGGCATTTTGTTCCCCTTGTTGATTGTCAGAATTAGACATCTTGTTCAAACGTTTTCTTCTGGATAAGGGTTGGTTGCTATTGGTTATTCTACCACTTCTAAGGTTCATAAAACAACAAACTTATCACTCAGAGGGTATTTTTACAATGGTTACGTCTCAACAATTTTTATTTTGTTCTAAATTCCGTAATGTCCAATGACGTGTCCCACCAGGTGTGCCAATTTGTTTACAGTTATTTCTGGTAAACAACCGCTAGTCCTCCAAACTATCGAATAATCTTACTGACTGTTATTCAATCTCTCTGGTAACTCGCAGGATCGACTAGATTGATCCTAGGATGTATTGGTCATTTTGGATAACTCTCATTTTAGAACTGGTATTCATGGTTGGTATTTAGAATGTTGTGTAGGTGTTTAACTTACTTCGATTACTCTATTAAAGATCTAAAGGCGTGATCAAGTAAATGTGCGCGAAACTAAATTGCATGAATAAAGTTCAATTGTAAAGACATGTAAAACTGCATAAAAGACAAGTAAATGACTTCGAAGCATAAAAACATGTAATGTAAAAGATTCTCTGGAATGTAAAAGATTCAAAATATGAAGAAAGCGTTTAAATGCAAGAAAACAGTAAAATGACTTTAAGTGAAAAAAGGCGTTCGAATGATAAAAGCTTGAAGATAAAGGCATGAAATGTACAACAGTTTCTAAAATGTAAAGTATTTGAAATGGAAAGAAAGCATTTAAATGTAAGGCATCAGTAAAAAGACTTCGAATGAAAACATTTTAGTGCAAAAGCTTTTGAATGGTATTGACATGAAGATAAAGGAAAATACTGGAAATGATAAAGAGTTTCATTAAATCATAAACACTTGGTGTTATCATACGTACATTGCTCGTGCATTCGTTTCCCTAGCCATGTGGTATTTTGAATGTTTACTGAGTTTTTTGTACAATAGATATGACACACGAAATCCTAATGCTAAGACTTCTATTTATACTACTTCGACCATAACGGTCTTGCTATAAGATTCTTCCACGTTCAGAACATGCAGAGCAATGCCTCTCCCTAGCTTCCACGCGTCTTCGAATGCTCCAGCGCATATATTTCAAATTTCGAACATCCCGCTTGCATTTGAATTTCAAATGTTTTGGCACTTCTTCGCTTCGAACGCATTTCTTGGACATAGCCTTGTTAACATTTTGAGACTTCTTTGAACATATCCTCATAACTGTCACTCGAAGCTCCAAGCTTTGATATGCCCATTCGAAGCACTGCTTCTATCATTTCGAAACATGACATCTTGCTTTATTCCAATCGAAACGTCCAATTTGCTTCGCTTCTAATAATATCATCAAAATCTTCAGCCAACAGCTGCATAAAGCCATGTATGGATTGAAACAAGCTCCAAGAGCGTGAAATAAGAAAATTGATAGTTTTTTAAGGGAGAAGAAATTTGTGAAGTGCATAACTGAACATGGAGTATATGTAAGAAGAAGGAATATTGAATTGCTTATACTATGTCTCTATGTCGATGATTTGTTGATAACAGGTAGCTGCAAAAGTGAGATCGAAGACTTCAAAGGTGATCTCAGCAAGGAATTCAAAATGTCTGATCTGGGTGAGATTTAATATTTCCTTGGCATCGAATTCTACAAGAGCAGTAGAAGTTTGATGATGCATCAAAGAAGATATGCAAGAGAAATTCTCAAGAGATTTGAGATGGAAGAATGTAACTCAACTTCGATACCTACAGAACTAAGACTGCAATTGTCGAAAGATGCAGATGAAGATGATATCGACCCAACCCAATACAAAGCCTAACTTAGCATATAGTGTAGGTATGGTAAGTAGATTCATGCAGAAGCCAAAGGTATCACATCTAGCAGAGGTGAAAAGGATATTAAGGTATCTCAAAAGAACTCTCGACTATGGCATTTTGTTTCCTGTAGCTGATAAAGGAAAAGAATGCAAGTTAGTGGATACACTGATTCGAGTTGGTGCAGTGATGCTGAAGATCGAAAATCAACAGCAGGATTTGTGTTTATGTTAGGTGGTGCACCAATTGCTTGGAGTTCAAGAAAGGAATCAGTAGTGGCATTATCATCATGTGAAGCAGAATACGTAGATGCTTCTCTTTGTGCATGTCAAGCAACTTGGATGGTGAACTTGGTCGAAGAGATAACAGGGAAAGATCATGGAGCAATTACCATGAAGATCGACAGCATGTCAGCTATCAATCTGGCGAAGAACCCGATAGCACATGGTCGAAGCAAGCACATCGAAATAAGGTTCCACTATCTTCGAGAGCAGGTAGCAGATGGGAAGATGAATTTGAAACATTGCAGAACTGAGAATCAGATTGCAGACATCATGACGAAGGGAGTGCAAGTTGAAGTATTCAGAAGACTAAGAACCATGATGAATATAGATAGTTTAGACACAATAAATTAGGTGGTGTGTTAAATTGTAATTCGATTGTGTCGAAACAGTGTGCTGAAGGAAGGTTGCCCAGTCGAAGAGCTTGTGGATCGAAGCAAGCTACACACAGATTTGATTGATTTTAGATTTAAATAAATTTGATTTAGATTTAAAATAGATAGATTTGATTTAGTACCAAAATAAGTATTCTGTGCTTTTATAGTTTTTGGCTTTGACTTAAGGAGCAAGTTAACATAAATCTATAAATAGAGGGGGTAACCCCTAATTTTGTAATTAAGTCAATTCATTGTAATCACATAATTTGCAGTCGCAAGTGATTAATAAAGTTTTCCACAGTTTGTGGACAGAGAGAAACTCTGCAGAAAATAATTGTCTTCTTTCTTTTCTTTTCTTTTCTCATAATTCATTGTCATTGTGTGGTGATATCAATCTTGTTCATCAATATTTGTATAAATTCATCATAGATATTTGGTGGATTTCTAACAGAAAGATAGTCTAAAATGAATAGGGTTAAGAAGGTTTTTCATCTTCTACTAGATTATCATTTTGAAAAAGAATTTGAAGAGAAGATGAAGTATGTTAGGACACAAATTGGAGATGCACTCCGCAGAATTTGGACTTATGGATTTGGGGGACAGTTAGACTACAAACAAACAGCACCAAGCTCAACAGCCATACAAAACTTGTGGATAAAGATGTTTATAATTGGAAATCCCTTCTTTAGTTTCAGAGCCATGTTGGGTCGATATTTGGTGTTATGGTTGTGAGTGGAGAAGAAATTGAAGTTCGTGGAAAGAGATTTAGATCTAATGCTTGCATTTCTTAGGACTATGCTGCTAAATTCGAGAATAAGTCATTTCTCACTGTCCTTTTCCAGCACCAGACCTGGCATCTTACTAATGACAAGATAGATGGTATCATGGACAAATTTGAAGATGCCTCCAGAAGAAGAGAAGCATATGGTTTGGTAGAAATTCAAAGTCAATCCGTTTCATCATCGATATAGTTCAAATATTACGTGGAAGGACACAACCACCTGTGGTTGCTGAAGCAAAAGAAACCGACGCACAAGTTCTGATAACTCAGTTACTGTCGGGTGAGAGACGTGGCTGCATTACTTGGATTGTTGGAATCAGAGGCACTGGGAAGACAACACTAGCCAAGTTGATATTTCAAGACAGTGGTGTTGTAAGACATTTTGACTGTCAAGTATGGGTGTCAGTAACTTCAACTTCCCTGAGAACCTACTACAAGGATGTTCTCTCCTTTATGTCCTTCGATCCTCAAGAAGGAAGTAAACCTGGGCAGCAAATTGGTAGCTTTCTCAAGGGATGTATTTCAAGCGATTGCTTCTTACTCCTTCGGGTACTTGATCTTGAACGTGTTTACAAGCCCAAGTTGCCTAAACGCATAGCAAGACTTAACCGGCTAAGGTATCTTGGCTTGAGATGCACCTACTTAGAGTCACTTCCATTATCTATAAGCAATTTGTTAAAGCTACAGACACTTGATCTCAAACATACTTACATACATACTCTTCCTACCTCCATTTGGAAGATGGAACTCAGACACTTGTTCTTACATACATACTCTTCCTACCTCCATTTGGAAGATGGAACTCAGACACTTGTTCTTACATACATACTCTTCCTACCTCCATTTGGAAGATGGAACTCAGACACTTGTTCTTGAACGAGACTTACGGCACCAGATTTCCACCTCAACCTGACCTCCAAACTTTGTCAGGACTGTTTGTAGATGCGGAGTCTTCAGTCCAGGGTAACATCAAAAAATTGGGATTAGCATGCCAATCAATGTCATTATTACAGGAAGACGAAATGAAAAAACAACTTGTAGCAGTGGCTGATTGGATCACAAAACTAGAACACCTTCAATCACTCAGACTAAAATCAAGGGATGAACAAGGGAAACCTTGGATTTTACACTTGAACTCTTTGGTAAAACCATACAAATCTCACTGACATATATTTGCTGGGAAGCTTGAATGTCCCACTTTCCACTTAGCCTCGTTGAACTCACCCTATCACACTCAAAACTACAGGATGATCCCATGACACTTTTGAAAGATTTTCCAAATCTCCTCGCAGAGTCATATATAGGAACAACTATGGTTTGCGAATCTCAAAGCTTTCCTCAGCTTCGTGTATTAAAATTGTGGGTGCTAGAGCAATTCGATGAATGGATTATAGAGCCAGGAGCACTCCCGTGTCCCAGACAGCGCCTGAAAATGCTTCCTGATGGACTAAAACATGTCAACACTCTACTTGAGTTGAAGTTAACAAACATGCCAACGGAAATCAAGGCTGACGGAATGGTGAGAACTGACTTGCCTCATTTGTTTTCATGTTAGTCTGCTTTCTTGCCTTTTTAGCTTACTAGTTTAATCATGCAAATAATTCTTGGCAGTGAAGGAAGCCTCACTCAGTTGCTTTGTGCGTAAATTGAACTGCTGCTTGCGTATCATCGTTATGGAAGAATTAAAAGATGGTAACTTCTGGTTTTTAGTTTAATTATGTTGCTTTCCTTGATTATGTTGTGCTATTTAAAACTTGATCAGTGACAGGAGCATGTTAAGTGTTCTGATTTGTTTGTCTGCAATGGAATTAAATTATATTATTATACGGAGACTGACTTTTGTTTATTCAGCTATTGAAATTAAACTTTTTTAGACTTAAATGTATTTTTTATCTTTTTATTTTTATAAAAAATGAAATATTAATCAATCTATTTTAAAAACTTTTTTTTTTCAATTTTAATTTTGGTTCTTCGTTCTATTTTAAACTTGAATCTATTTTGAAGTCAATTTTCTTACTCGGTGGACAAGGGACCAACGATGTAAGTCAATAAAATCAACTTTAAAATGTAGCAAGGGACCAAAATTTAAAAAACAATTGAACAGGAGGAACAAAACCTAATTTTACAAATAGAGGGATCGACTTAAAAAAAATAAAGTATGATCAAACAAAGGTTAGTTGGATCAGATCATATCAGCTTTCTTCAAGAAAGCAAATATAAACCAAATTGCATGCTATTTTAATATTTTGATCTGATATCTTTTCGACTCGAAAACAATCCAAACTTAACCGGGAACACCTATGACAGGGAGTTTCAGAAATCCCGCACCTTGCGTTAGTTAAAAATGTGGCAGTATTCCAAATTAAGCTACTAAGTATTTTCAATATACAAAATTAGACATGGTTATTCCAGTTCTATTCCCATCTACTTATACAAGACAGGAAACAGACATGAAATTAAGCACTTAATTAGTCCTACAAATTAGGAGTTAAAACACATTGTCTTCTCTTTACAATGTCCTACCTACATTCCATACCTTGCTATTCCTTGAGGATTCACTTGGCCTAAATGAATGCCTTGAGTTCTCATGTTAGTTTCACTCCAGATTAAAGGTGATACCATTGAGTCCAATCCCAGCATCCTCTTTGTCCCGCCAGGTGATCCTTCTAGGGTTAACCCTCTCAGACTCTCAAGTGATGTTAGGCAACTTTCAGTCGAACAGTTAGCCCCTTGGGGCTGGAGAATGTAAGGTATGTCTGAAACATGCATTCCACCTAGCTCGGCACTTGGTAGTTCTTGAAATTTTTGGATGTCTGTGTCTATAGTTGTGTCGCCAATAAACTGATCAGCCAACATCTTACAAGCTCTCTCAAGCATGGTCATATATCTACGCTCTGCATCTTGGCGAATTAGCAGGTGCTTCTCTGCCTGCAATACCATATTATTTAATAGTAAGCATTTGACCATACATCTCCAATCAATCAAAGGCGAGATTCCACCATCTTTTCTACAGTGGGTGTTACCTCAACTATCTTTAAAGCTATCACTAATAATCTTACTTCATTTAGAATTTCTGATACCAATCAAAATGGTCTAAAATTAATATAACCTAAACAAACAATAAAACATTGAGCACCATGAAAGGGAAATTTACCTCCACTAGTAAATGTAGTTTGCTTTGCACTTCCATCTGTGCTCTTAAAGCCTCCTTGACTTCATGACCCCTATACATGACATTGCAATTCTCAATTAAGTCATCATGTACCATACACACATAAATGGAGGAAAAAATTGTTTCTAAAGAAACAGTGAAATTCTTACTCGTTTGCATCAGAAGCTAGTAATTTAGGAGATGAGTTTTCAGTACCAGGGCTTTCTAGAAGATATGAACCTGATATTCCTTTCATAAAATTTCAAAGTGTTTAGTAAAAGCATAGACTATAACCAAAAAAAACCTTAACCAATCTATTGAAAAGGGTGCTGATAGTGATATAAACTAGAAAATTATATACTAAGAAACTCTGATGAGTGACATATAATTCAAAATGTAGAGAGAAAAATGTACCATCTTTGCATCCCTCGTCAGAATCTTTTCCAGCTTGTTTACCGAGCCTATACTTCTGCAATGCAGTAAAGAATAATGTCACACAAAATAAAGAATATCATAAAGTTTCTATTACAACTATGATATACACAAATGAACCTGAAGATGACTCTTTAAGTGATAGAGTGTCAAACCCTTGACATTCATGGTCCTCATGATTGCTTTCGGTGTGGCTTCTGCAGATGATAATTTTGATAGTATAATAATTGAGAGGACCAATAGATGCAGTTAGAAGAGTTTGCAGATAGAGGAATGCCCAATAATTAGAGTTAGAGATGTGTATATTACTCACATGACATTATAGGTCAATTTTTAAAGAATTCTTAGAAAACACTAAATTGTACAAACAAATATAAAAATTGGGGACCAAAATCACTCATTAGCCACCAGAGAGACTAGAAGTACACAATTATATCTATCAAAGAAAGAAAACAAAGTAGCACAAGTACATGGAAAGTATGCATTATGCATTATTCATATGAACAAACTACAAGAATGATGGAAAGCAACATACAAATATGACATTGAAGACAAACAGAAGAGCTTCATTACAAGTTTAACACCTCAGACCTCCCACATTCTAATCTTATATTAACCCCTCCATGCTGTAGTGACCAGTGGTTTCTACATCATTCACAATACATGAACTAAACACCTTGTTAAGATGAAACAAAAATAATTACAAATTAATAAAAAAAATCAAGTCCAAAGTGTGCAATTTGCAACAAATTTCACAAGAGTTAAAAAAGCAACATAAAGGCCCTTCCTTTCCTAAATTCAATAATTCATGGCTTTTAAACAAAAGCTAAGCATGTGTTTGAAAACCTCAATTCTAGAATCAAAATCAATTCTGCTTTAAGAATACCAAACATGTCAAAATCAATTTTATACCTCCAGAATCACTTTTGGCTTTCTCAAAAGTGGAACCAAACATACACAAATTTCTCAAAACAAAAATCATTCTTTTCCTATCAATGTCAAACTAACAATAGCAAAAGTAAATTAGTAAATCAACCAAATGGGGTGCATCAAAACCACAATCTCAAAACAAGAGTGAAAAAATAAAGGAAAAAATAAGAAAGTAATGTGAGGGGAGAGAGAGAAATGAGTTACTGCTTGGTCCACCGAGTTGAGTAACAGCATCAACAAAGCGTTGGTGAAGGTCAGTAGTCCAACGAAGACGAGGTTTTGGATCAGAAGTGAGAACAAGACAAGGGTCGGCAAGGTGATTGTGATGATGATTTGTGTCTTCATGAACAACACCAACACTAGTTCCTTCATGGTCGTGAGGACGTAGCAACCTAGAAAACATGTTCCTATCCTATGATGAAATGAAACCACAGAAATGGAAGAAGAAAGAAGAAATTATAGAAAGAGAAATGGAAGGAGATAGAGATGATGAGACATTTGATGAAAATAGGGAAATGGGTGGTGAAGTGAAAAGAACAAGACTTTGGTTTTGGGAAGAGAAGCCTAGTAGCAAAGCTAATGGAGCTGACACTGTCACGCTTTACTGTGATTTTGTCACTTTCTGCACTCTTTTTGCTTTTTTTTCTTATTAAAAATATATATGTACTAGTATAAATCAATGCCATTCTTTTGCCCCCTTTGTGTTTTCCCTCCAATCATTTTTCCGTGGGGTTTAGTTTAGGGTTCTTATGAGCGTGGAGCAATGTTTTAAAATTTAAACCGGTGATCGATTTGGTAAAGTTATTGAGTTATTGGTCGGATCAGTGAGTTACTGGTCAGACCGCATGACTTTTGTTCCGGTTTCTATAAAAAATATATTTATTATCTGAAATTTGTAACTATATTACATATAGGCTACCAAACATCGTTACTGTGCATCATCATATATAATAAAAAAATAGAAACTTTGCTTTCTAGCTTTTGCTATATATTTTAGATTAATAAAATCCTGAAAACTTTGTCTTACTATATAATTTAGATTACATAGTTTTAAACTCAATTTCTATCTTCATAATATATATACAACGACTATTACAGTAATATATATCTATCCTAATTTCTATCTCTAATATACAACAACTTCATTACCAATCTATAATAAGTTAATATTACCAATCTATAATAAGTTAATTCATAAAAGTATAAAACTGCTTCATTCATACAAATTTTATCTCAATTTGTTAAACTAAAAGACCCAATTTTATAGAAAATGATCAAATTTAATCATTTATTTTCTATATCAATTAATCAACAAAATGAAACAATAATATTCATATTGAAAAACATCAATGCAAATTAGACCAAGTAAAAAAGAAATAACCTGTTTTTGATGTTTTGATGAAATTTTTGACGGCAAACAAGGAATATCAAATAACAGCAGCAAGTGGGAGTTTTTGTTGGTAGAGAAAATTGAGAATATGACTTCAATTAGAAAAAGGAAAGACAGAATAAAAAAGAAAACATTTCAAATGCCTAGGTTTGGGAAACGAGGAGGCAAAGCGTTTATGTTAATTTTTTTTTCAAAAGCCCTAAAAAATAAAATAAATAGTCAAACCCGCCGGTTCAGTAAAAACCACTGGTTCACTCGTTTAACCGGTGATCTGGCCGGTTCACACCGATTTCATCCGGTCTAAATGTAATTCTGGTCTTATCCCTTAATCAGACTGCCTGGCCCACCGGTTCTCGGTCAGACCGGTCCGACCGACCGGGTTGGGCTGGGTTTTAAAACACTGGTGTGGAGCATTGTTTTATAGATTTTGTACAAATCGCCTCATATATTATTAAATGTAGACACCTTTTTTTATTCATTTGTGTAAATTTATTTCATAAGGTTAGACTTAACTTAAATGTCTAAATGTGTGAACACGCGTATATTAATGAATAATAGAGTATATTAATGTTTGATTAAGTGTGCATGATCATTAAGCTTATAATTAATTAAATTCTGACCTATTTAATAGTTTGTAAAGAAGAAACAAGTAAATCCATATTCTAATGAACCATAATCTGAATTTCAAATAAGACCTCAGCGCCATATTATTTCAGTCTCTAATGTTCAAATGGAACTTCAGTGCTACATTGACTTTGCTTCTGATGTTTCAAACAGAACTTCAAGCGCTCTGATGGAAACACAATACAAAGATCTTATGTATGTACTCTTAGCAAAATCAACTTCATCTTGTCAACGACTATAATTGTGGAGGAAGTCAACTAGAGGTTATAGCACAAGGCTAAAGGATATGATTTCTTCAGTCTACTAATTCATGCTTATGGATGTCTTACTTGAGAAAGACACAATAGATAAAGCAATTATTTAAAAGGTGATCCTCATCGTACCAACTCCAACATTTATCTTTCTTGGAAACTGCTTCATCGGTAAAGACACTTGTACAAACAAGCTTTCAACGTCTCTTTTGTTCCCTCTATATAAGGAGCTAAAGATTCAAAAGAAACATCAAGAAATAATACAAGAAGAACAACAGCATAAATCAGAATAATGCAAGAATTGTTTCTCACTTCAAGTTATATTTTATAGTTGTTGCATTGCACATAGACTTGGGATATTCTAACACTTGTATATCTTAGAAATCTTAAGTATCAAGGTCTTTGTGTGTGTTGTATTATTTGTACCTCTGATTGAATATCAGGTACATCTTATTGTAATCTTAAATAGTTTGTTTAGAATTTGTAAAAGTCTCAAACTGAATATTTGAGCAAGGAAGTCTCTTTTAGATTGATTGAGCAAGAAAGCCCTGAACAATTGGTTTAGGCAAGGAAGTCTCTTTCAGATTGATAAAGCAAGGGAGTCTTGAACAGTTGGTTTAGGCAAGGAAGTCTCTTTCAAGTTGATTGAGCAAAGAAGTCTTGGACGGTTGGTTTGAGAAAAAAGTCCATTTCTAGTGAGATTGAGCAAGAAGTGTTGTACTAGTGTGTCTAAGCAAATTCTAATCAGGTTATGATTGTAGTGAAAAGCTCTTGTGTGGCAAGAGGACTAAATTACTCTCATTATAGAGGAAACATGATAGCTTTGTGTGTGATTTACTTATTGCTTCTATACTTTAAATATTATGTTGCTGCATACTCTAGCTTAAAATTTGAACTTGGTCAGATTCATAAGCTATTATTTTTGAAAAAGCATAAGTTATCTAATACACAATTTAACCCCTCCTCCCTATTGTGTATTTTCTCACCTTCAATTGGCATCAGAGTATGGTTTGGGCTTAACACTTAACAGTGGTACAGAAAAAAATCTTGAAGAGAAAAGTATGTTAAAATGGGGATATTGGTGATAGTAATGTTACTGGCACTATGATTATAGTGCTCATGAAAATAGTCACTATTATGCCAAACCATTTGCATTTAGTGGTGATTCTACTCACTTTGAATGGTGGAAGAGAAAAATATACACTTATATCATTGGCCTTGATGACGAGTTATGGGACATCCTTGAGGATGGCATTGAGATCAAAGTGAATAGTATGGGAATGGTTGTTGGTAGAAAAGTTCTCACACCAGCTAAAAAGAAAGTGTACAGAAAACACCACAGATTAAGAGGCATTATTGTTGATGCTTTACCTCACTCCGAGTACATAAAAATCATAGATAAGTCAACTGCAAAGATGATCTTTAATTCATTATGTACTACCTATGAATGTAACCATCAGGTGAAAGTGGCTAAGGCCAACCTTCTGATTCACCAGTATGAACTCTTCAAAATGAAGGATGATGAAGACATTGAAACCATGTTATCCAGGTTTCAAGTTCTTGTATCAGGCCTTCAAAGTTTTAAACCAGAGTTATACTTCAGCAGATCATGTCAAGAAGATTTTGAGGAGTCTTCCTGTAAGATTCACACCTAAAGTTATAGCTATTCAAGAAGTTAAAGATCTGAATACTTTAAATCTTGAAAGTCTAATAAGCAACCTTCAGAGCCATGAAATGGAACTGAATGGAGATGAGTTATGAGTCTGAAGATTTCCAAATCACTGGCTTTAAAGTCTGCTACTGAGAAGTGTGGCGCTAAAATTCATAGATCTTTAAAAGTCAGTAAGTCATAATAAGCTTCTAATTAAGGGGTATTAGATGGTAACTTTAATGATGAAGAAATGACATTTATCATTGTCGCACCCCAAATTTGCCCTACCTCTATAATCACATTTTCAAGATTAAAAATAGAAGAGAAATATTTAATTAAAGATGGTCCAGCAATATCTGTTGACCCACTTTAAGAAGAATTCAAAACAACAAGAAGGGTGTATTTTAATTTAGGAGAGTGGGGCTTTCTAAATCAGAAAGACCCATGTACCCATAAACCCGTTCGCGAAGCATGTTGGCCAACGGCCCATGAGATTCGAATGTGGAAAATGATTTCAAAAAAATAAATAATTATTAAGTTCTTAATTATTATTAGCCCATTAGGATTTATTGTTGTTAATAAAATAGGAGGTGAAAATTCAATTTAAAAAAGTCCATTAAAACTCATAGTGGCCCATTTCTGTTTTGGTGGTTGATTAGCAGAAAGGGGGGTAAGGTTTCAGTCTATTCATATGTTCCATTTCATTTTTATAGCAAATATTGAAAAAGCAGGCCCATTAAAGTTTTTTGTAGCAGTCCATTTGATATATTGTTGTTGTTTTACAAAAAAGGGTATTATTATTAAAATTGTTTGTTATTATAAATAAAAAAAGATAATAAATAATATATTTTTCTTTATTAAAAGAAAACGTAATATATTTTTTATTGTTGATAAACTTTTTATTATAATAATGTTTATTGTTAAAAATTATCTTTATATTTTATTTATTAAAGTTTTTTTTTTGTTTTGGAAAAGAGGCCAATTGGACCTAGTTGTATTAAAAAAGATTTTTTGCTGTAATAGAAAGATAATGTTGTTGGGCTGAATAAAAAAAAGTAATGCGTTGACCTAAATATTGAATAAACAACTATTTTACCAGTCATTACCAAGATTTGCGCACAATTTACAATTGACAATTACTGTAGAAATTGTTACAAGTCAAATCTTCAAATCGATCCAAGTCCAGAAA